GGCTGTACGGACAGCTAGCAGTCTGCTAGTGAGGACAGAGCCTACTGGTATTGCCATAGCAGCCCCTGGGGCTGAGAAACGTCCCACATTGAACTCACCCACCCTCCCTCTATAGAAACTGTCACACATCTGGTTCTGCCATATTTGGCTAGGAGACAGCGATCCTTCCACAGACCTTTGGAATCTTTCATTTAAATCACAGTGGCAGTGTGAGGTCATGGTCTAAAACCACCACGCAGTGACTCAAGTCTTCTGGAGGGATAATTTTTCTCAACAACTGCTCTGCTGAGTTTACATTTGGTTAAGTCTGGTGGCTTTGCCCATGGGATATATGAAACTCTTGACATAGCCTTACAACCCCAGCAAACTCTCAGAATCCAATTAGTAAATAAACTCCATTGTGATTTAAGGGAAAACCACTATCTTTCCTATTTATCCTTCACACTGAAATAGTAAATGATACTGTGGGAACACTGAAGCATGACCAGAATCAACAAAAGGCAGGATTGCCTCTCCTGAGCCTCTCTGCCCTCTGAGATTAGAATTTGGGGAGGATGCATTCAGAAATGATTTTTTCTAGTAATGACAACATTCAGTACCACATAAGAAATGAAATTGAAGCATTGATCTTATTCTTCAAATATAGGATAGCTTCAATATTAAAATTAACATACAAATTTAGCATCCATCTTATTTTCGACTCACTTCTGCTGAGTAAATGCACATATAAAGAATGAATCACTGAAACAGTATGCAGTGAAATAAAGTTCCATTTTTCAAATATGTCAGTTCAAATGCAGTCAAAGCCTGTTTTCTGGGCACCCAACAAATGTTCCCAAGATGCTCCTTCTCCCACCACCTCCCACCTGCTCTATCCTTAGGGCAAGCTAGGGACCTTGGGAGATGAGTCCTTAAAGAGCAAGTCTGGTGATAAAGGACTGCTACACCTCTCACCTCCTTCTCTAGTCCTATTTCTTTCTATAAATTTGAAATGTTCTTACTCCTATGAGCCTGTTGACCAACTTAACAGCCTGGACCAGTGGCCCAGAATCACTGCCCCTTTTCCCTGGCACCTGTTGCCTCCCTAGGTTGCCCTACCATTAATTTCAACCACATCCATGTACCTAACAAATGTCTTGCTTCTCAATTCATCTATAAAACTACTTCCTCCCACCCCTGTCATCAGGAATGTTGCTCTTTCTTTCTTTCTTTCTTTCTTCTTTCTTTCTTTGAGATGGAGCTTCACTCTTGTCACCCAGGCTAAAGTGCAATAGCGCAATCTCGGCTCACTGCAACCTCTGCTTCCTGGGTTCAGGTGATTCTCCTGTCTCAGCCTCCCAAATAGCTGGGATAACAGGCACCTGCTATAATGCCTGGCTAATTTTTTGTATTTTTAGTAGAGAAGGGGTTTCACCATGTTGGCCAGGGTGGTCTTGAACTCCTGACCTCAGGTGATCCACCCGCCTCGGCCTCCCAAAGTGTTAGGATTACAGGCATGAGCCACCACACCCAGCTGAATGTTGCTATTTCTTAAAGCTCAACTCTCAAGGGCAAAACCTATTCCCAGATTTCACTAGTAAACTGGAAATCATGGTACAACTGGAAGGATCAGCAGTGCCAAAAATTCTGGCCCTCCCGTTGGGAGAAAGAATAGCACATTTAAGTTCTTATCCAGTCCTTCACCAACCAGATTTCCAGAAACAAGAAAGTCTCATCCCAAATGTATGCTCAACCTAATAATTGACATTGAGGCCAACATTGTTTAAACTAGATCTAGGGTATGTATTACGACTCTTTTCATGTTGATGTTTACCCTTGCCCTAGAAAAGTAGGTGGGAACGGGAAAGGACTTAACATCTCAGCATAAAAGTTTATAGCCTTCAGCCCTTTTACATGGCATAGATCTAAAAAGAAAACCCAAGGATGTGATGAAGAGGGAGGTCATTCTCACATCTTAGTGAGTGTACAAATTACCTGGAGAGGATAAAAATATACTGCTTAGGCTACCAGGGATTCTGACTCAACAAGTCAGGTCCAGGAATCTACACCAGAAATTAAGCATCTGGGCACGTGGACCACACACTTTGACATGAATGCTCTAGAACATGACTAACCCACCCACACCCAGCATCTTAGACAAACAAAGCATTGACACCAACAATAGGAGTGGGCAGACCCTCACCAGAAGAGAGGAGAAGCACTGTGTTTCATGTGGATTAACTTTCTCTAAGACCGGATTGACATACAAGTCAAACATCAGTTGATGAAAACAAAGTGTACAGCCCAACCCGGCCCCCAGATGTGTTGCCTGTGTGACAGAGTTGGTTTTTTCTCTTCATCCAGACGTTCAGTTTCGTGTAAAAGAATAACAGATGAGTATTCATTTCCCTTGAATTCTACATGCTGTGTGTAGCAGGATGGTCTCTGAGAGCTGAGTTAGAATCTAGCCTCTTTAACCAGAGGGGGCTCAGAAATGGAGACTCAGAGGGAGTAAAACTGAATGCTGGGAGAACATAGGATCTTAACACCCAGTTTCTCATTTCTGATGCCTGACCACACTTACCCCACTGAAGCAAACATTTCTTTCTTCAGATTTTTTTTTTTCTGAGATGGAGTCTCACTCTGTTGCCCAGGCTGGAGTTAAGTGGCACAACCTTGACTCACTGCAACCTTCATCTCCTGGGTTCAAGCGATTCTCCTGTCTCAGCCTCCTGAGTAGCTAGGACTACAGGCACTCACCACCACGCCCAGCTAATTTTTGTATTTTTAGCAGAGATGGGGTTTTACCATGTTGGCCAGGCTGGTCTTGATCTCCTGACCTCAGGTGATCCACCTGCCTCAGTCTCCCAAAGTGTTGGGGTTACAGGCATGAGCCACCACACCCAGCCTCTTTCTTCCAATTATATTAAGAATCAAACATACCTGCACTAACTAGCCCACAAATAAACTGCTTTACAGATAATTCCATCATAAAGAGGCCAATGAAAATGATTTATAGGCAAAATCAAGCTGTAAGGACGCTGTATCAATGAGGTTTTGCTTAGTTCGGGTGGTTCAACTTGACGAACGTGCGGACAGGTTTTGTAGCATCTTGGCTTAGGTGCTGTGGTACATGATCATTATTGCTTGTTAAATGTGAGTAAACTTTTGCAATGAAGATGTCTTTAAAATACATTTGTCCTAGGTAGGTCCAGACATTAGCACTTGGTTGCCACATAAAATGTCCTGGATGTATCTTTAGAATCAGGGGGCAACTGCTCTCCCCGCACTCCCCTTCTTTCTTCCTTATGTAAACATTAATGTTTAAATAGAACCCTAACCACAAACCATATTTTCTTTTTTTTTGAGACAAGATCTGGCTCTATGGCCTAGGCTAGAGTACAGTGGTGTAATCTCTGCTCACTGCAACTTCTGCCTCCCCAGCTCAAGCCATCCTCCCACCTCAGCCTCCCAAGTAGCTGGGAATATAGGTGCATGTCACCATGCCTGGCTAATTTTTGTATTTTTTGTAGATACAGGCTTTTGTCATGTTGCCAGGCTGGTGGCAAACTCATGAGCTAAAGCGATCTGCCTCCCAAAGTGATGGGATTACAGGCAAGAGCCATCATGCCTGGCCCATATTTACTTTTCAACACTCTAGTATGTAACTATGTCAATTAAATACATACTAGTCCAACTAATACAAGGAATTTTTCCCCCTCAAAGGTTTTTCATGCCAAATGTGCCCAGTGGAAATAAAAATGAGAAGTCTCTTTTGTTTTAAATATCTCCCTTCCCCTGGGAACCCATTCAAGGGTAGGGAGCATTTCAGGCTGAGAAGACTTGCCCTTCTCCTTCCCAGGACTGAAGAACCTTTTAAGACTTACTCCTGCACTGGGAGCTCTCTCTGAATCTTTTGTCATGTAGAGGCTTTTATTTATTTGCTTATTTACTTTCCCTTCCACATTCATAAGTTTATTGTCTGACCTAAGCAGTCATCTTACCTTTCAAGCACTTTGAAAAATGGAAACAGTAAGTCAGAGAAGTGGTTGGTGTGAACACCACTGAATATTACTGTTTGAAAATTCTCTTAAAAAAAATGTGAGCAAGAAGTTTGTCATATACAGTACCCCAAAAATGTTTTTAAAATGAAAGAAAAAAACCCTGGTTTTCAATGTTTTGCCTCAAACCAGAATGGCATGGTCTCTAAGTAAGAATGACGGGGCCAGGTGCAGTGGCTCATGCCTATAATCCCAGCGCTTTGGGAGGCCAAGGCGGGTGGATCTTACCTGAGGTTGAGAGTTCGAGACAATCTGCCCAACATGGAGAAACCCCATCTCTACTAAAAAAAAAAAAAAAAAAAAAAAAAAAATTGGCTGTGCATGGTGGCACATGCCTGTAATCCCAGCTACTCGGGACTCGGGGGGCCGAGGCAGGAGAATTGCTTGAACCTGGGAGGCAGAGGTTGCAGTGAGGTAACACAGCCAGACTCCATCTTAAAAAAAAAAAAAAAAAAAAAAAGAAATGAAGGAATGCATGTCTATATTCTGAACATAAAACTATGAATGTAACTAACAGAAGCAATAGTTTTCATGTACTGCATACTTCTTATGTCAGGAACTGGGCTACACACTTTCCTTGCTTCCCACACTCAACTGTACATTGTTGGGAGTTTTCAATTTTTACTCTGTTTTTAATGGGATTCTCCACTAAAATACCTTCTTATCTTGGACTCACAGGTAACTTGGATGATACATAGAAAGCACATTCTCTTAAACATAGTAGGCACTCAGTAAGTATGTGTTGAAGAAATGAATGGAGGGAATTAATTAACTCCATTCTTGAACAAATTGTCTGTGTTTCTGAATGCAGCTTTAAAACTTTGCCATTCATATTTCTCAGGAACGCCTTGTTTAACTGATACTTTGATTCCTGATCCATGCATTAGTAAGTCGTTTTTTACATCAAGTTTCTATTTTTAGAGATCCTCTTTCTACAAGTAGAAATGACATAAACCGAGCTCATCTCCTTAGTTTATTTTTTTCTAGAGTCCTTAGCATGCTATATTAACCCAACAAAGCTTAATCTTGTGTTCGTTTCACAATACATTTCATGCAGTTCACAGCTGTGATTGGTTTTACATTGACATTACACATGTTTTGATTCAGCCAGGTGAAAGGAGTAATTCTTAATGGAGTTTGTCTCTGAAAACTGTCCAAGCTTAAATAAGCATATGAGGCAGTTCACTCTATTCTTAAGTGCATCTCTCTTTAGAATGCAAGGAGTTTTAGCATAAGAATATACTGTAACTGTTTATAGTCCATTTGCAACTGAACCACTTCCTTTAGGTTTCACATATCCTGAGGAATCCACTTTTACAAAATTGCATTCAAGTATATTATTTCATTTAACATTCCAGGTTGGGTTTAGGTGCAAGGCTGACCTCAGCTTTATATCCCCAAATAAATCTTCCATGGACCCAGCCTTCCCAAGAGTATTCTTAACATTAGACTCTCTTTTACAATAAACATTCAGCACTAAAGCCACAGAGCAGAGCTATTTGGCATTTTCCAGTGAAGTGCAAGAAGTTAAATAAGTTATGTTTTTATTGCTAATGTATAGAATCAAGCACAGTCACCTTGTCAAACAGAAGGAAAGGGTATACACAAGATGTGGCCTCTCCTCAGATGCCTCAGGGTCAAAATGCACAGAAAATGTCACCTGGCCGCCACCCATCCAGCATCACTTTAAGATGATGTGTTGAGTATTCTTGAGTCCGAGGAGTCAGACCTCTCGTCATAGTCGTCCTCGGTGTACATAGACTGCTTTGACACAATTGGACACCCATCATCAGGGATGGAAATCCGAGGGTCTTCGGTGGCGCGGGCAGGAAGGACGGGCGAGCTTCTGAAGACACTGGTAGAGTTACTGGGGAAAGGACTGACATACTGGGACCTCAGCTGATACTGCTGCTGCAGCGTCATGGTGTTCCACAGGGTGACATCATTGGGCAAAAAGGGGCTTGACTGGTTTCTCGCCAAAGTATTCCTTAGCATCAGCGGGTACCGGGGTGGCTGGGGGAAAGGGTGCTGCAGAGGCATGGCCAAGGGATTGGGGACAACATTACTAGAGTCAGCAGAAAACCTCAACGTGTCTGGGACTCGAAAGGCTGATCCCACAGACCATTTGGAAGACGAGATGGGGTAGGAGCTCAAGGTATGTTCAAAGATGTGCCCGTTGGAGGGCAACATGAGACTCTCGGGTTCTGCGGAAGTTCGTTCTGCTCCCGTGACTGAGGATCGGCTGGACAGCAGGACTTCCACAGCACTCACCAGGTCCCCACCACAGCCCTTGAGGATGAGCTCAAGCACTGTTGGCTTCTGGTTGGGGAATATCTTTTTTAACACTTCGAGCGGTGGTCTGTTGGCTTTCAAGCTGAAGGGCAGAGAAACAGTCCCCGAGGGGCCCTCAATCAGGAGGTGATTCTGCTCCACGTGGTACTTGGGGCTGTCAGGGCGGCTCTCAGGGTTGCCTCCATTTTTCTGGACAGCATACCCCCCTTCATCCACAGACACTATCTCAGGGCTCTCAGGGGTGAAGCAGCCCTTATTCTTTGTCACATCTGGGGAACTCCTCTGGTCAGTGTCTTTGTCGCTGAAGACCTCTGTATTGTCTGCTGAGCTGCCATCTCCAAGTCGTTCTTCCGCCAAATCTGAAAAACAGAACGGCTGAGTTAATCTTTTTCCTGGTGTGCATAAAGAGGAACAGATGTGCTCAGAAGAGACTGTACACATGCTTTTTAAAAGAGCAAATGCATCCCAGTGGGTCACAATATACTACAAGCCTTTTTTAAAAAAATTCAAACTATGTCACTGGCAAATGAAAAAAAAAACCCTCTAAATAAAGAGCTAGAAATCAGAGTGACTTCTTAGAATGCTTTGGGCAAGGAAGCTTGTCTTCAACATGGAATGGCTACATGAACCTATCACCACGGAAGATGTGGTTTTCATAGCAGTGACAATCTCAATTGGGAGCATCTGTGGGACCGGGGAAAACTCCTGGAAGAGCAAAGCTCAGGAAGAAACAGGAAAATGAGCTCAGCTTGTCTTCCAGCTCTTCTTCTGCAAATAAGGTCCACAGTTGTAATCTAGGGACAGCACCATCCAGATAACCAAAGGGAATTTTAATATTTTAAATCTATTTTGCATAGGCTGATTTTGTGTTAAATACATCTTATGAACCAATCAGTGTGTTTCATCAGGTTACCATGTATGATAGTGAGCTAATTCAATTGCTGAAGTGAAAGATAACTCTATCCATTTAAATCTTTCGTAAGAAGCCACTTGAGGGACTGGCAAACGTGGTTGCCAATAACTTGGGCTAGACAGCAAACAAAACCAGCTGTGAATTCTGGATGGCAGGATAAGTTGCTGGACAGGAAAAAGGACGTGGCTAGAAAGGGCTAGAAACTGCACGGGAGCATTATCCATCAATGAAACAATGCATCATCACATTCCACAGCCACAGCTGGCATGAGGCAGATACATGTCCCTGAACTGTTTTGTTGGTAAAGTTCATGGAAAAGACTTGAAGATACCTTTTTTCTTAAGCCAGTGAAATTTGAAGATACTATTTTGTATTATATGAAAAAAAGAAGAAGGAAAAAAAACTTCCCAAATAAAGCAGATACTTGCTATAAAGTAAATCAGTTACAAATTTAACATGTTGACCTAAGAATATTTTTACCTAATGTCTAGTAATATTGCAGGGCTAAGCACACAGAAAAGAGTAAGTCACAATGGTTTGCTTTGCAGTAGTAAATTCTAACAGGCCTTTATAATAAAGAAACATATTTTGTAGAAGCAAGCTATATGCAAATGGACTTTTATCCTTTTTTTTGAGACAGAGTCTTACTCTGTCACCCAGGCTGGAGTGCAGTGACACGATCTGGGCTCACTGAAACCTCCGCCTCCTGGGTTCAAGCAATTCTCCTGTCTCAGCCTCCTAAGTAGCTGGGACTATGGGAGCGCACCACCACACCCAGCTAATTTTTGCATTTTTAGAACAGACAGGGTTTCACCATGTTGGCCAGGATAGTCTCAATCTCTTGAGCTCGTGATTCACCCACCTCAGCCTCCCAAAGTGCTGGCATTACAGGCATGAGTCACTGTGCCCAGCCAAGTTTTATCCTTTGTTGAAACATGCACTGCCTGTGGCTACTCAAAGCCAGGGTAACTGATGAAAATTCCTTTTTTTTTTTTTTTTTTTTTTTTTGTGAAAGAGTTTCACTCTTGTTGCCCAGACTGAAGCACAATGGCACAATCTAGGCTGACCGCAACTTCTGCCTCCCAGGTTCAACAGGTTCAAGCAATTCTCCTGCCTCAGCCTCCTGAGTAGCTGTGATTACAGGCATGCATCACCACACCCGGCTAGTTTTATATTTTTTGTAAAGACAGGGTTTCTCCATGTTGATCAGGCTCGTCTCGAACTCCCGACCTCCGGTGATCTACCAGCCTCAGCCTCCCAAAGTGCTGGGATTACAGGCATCAGCCATTGTGCAAGCCCAAAAGATGAAAATTCTTAATGACCCGGTTGTTGGGTTGTAAACAACCAGCAGCCTGTGTTTTCTGCTGCCCTACCGGAATGGCCTCATTGTTGCACTCTCTGTGAGCATACCTGATTATGTACAGATAGCCAGCTGGTGAAATTTCATCAAAGCAGCTTCTAGAAGCCATTTTCTCCTATGCTTGTTGTTTATTTTAAGAGCCTTAAAGGACCACTTATGAACATTCTTCTAATACAGGATGTATCTAAGTGTAACCAAAAAACAAAACTTTGGTCCTTTACAAAGCAATAAATATGTGGCAAACATAAGTAAATAATTTTAAAACATTCTTAAATTACCTCAGTGCAAGTGTCAACATTAATCTGATAGGAATTCATACTTATCCCAAATTTGCATTTTAATTAAACTGCTTTTTTCTTTTTTTTAACTGCTTTTTTAATACAAAATGTAAGATTTCTAATGAGAGGTTCATTTGCCGCACATACATAAGAAGCCATCTTCACTTTATGTAATGACTCTGTGACAAAGACTCTATTGTAGAATGACTATTTTTGTAAGAGAAATTTGACATATTCTCTCCTACAACTTCTTAGGGTGGGAGACCCAGCTTTTATCTCTTGAGTATTTGAACTCATACAGTATTTGAACTCATGTCCTTGATCCAAAAGAGAAATATAGCAACCAAAAGGCTTCTATAGATTTACTTTATCATCAGCTAGATCTATTTAAATTTTCCTGACTCATGACCCCATACATACATCTTGGCTGTTACTCTATTATTAAACATTTGAAAATTATTAAACAATTAAAAACACTTGATAATATATGTTAATATACTATCACTTTCGGAAATTGGAAAAACAAGTCAAATACTCTCGCCATATAAATGTGGACATAAAGTACTTCTTTAAAGTACTACGTACTTCTAAAGAGTTTTCTTCTTTTTTAACTTTAGCCTACATTATGATGATCAGCACCAAGTATTTATATTTCTGCAAGATACTGGGAGAAACAGAATAAAGGATGAAAAACACCAACAAGTGTAAGACTCATACCTAAATTATGGACTTTATCTTCTGGGGAAATAAGACACACATGCAGGAGAAAAGGCAAACAGGGCCTTGCAGCTAAGCCTCAAATATGACACACATTGTACACCAATGTTCATAGCAGCAGCATTCACAATAGCCAAAAGGAGAAAAAAAACCCAAATGTCCATTCAATGCATGAATGTACAAAACTTGGTACACATACACACACAGTGGGATATTATTCAGCTTCAAAAAGGAATGGAATTCTGATACATGCTATAACATGGATGAACATTGATGGCATTAGGCTAAGTGAAATACGCCAGACACAAAAAGACAAATACTGAATGACTCCACTTATATTCAATACCAAGAATGGGCAAATTCAGAGGGAAAGTAGAAGGGTGGTTGCCAAGGGCTGGGAGGAAAAGGGAATGGGGAGTTATTGTTTAATGGGTATGGAGTTTCGGTGTGGAATGATGAAAAGGTTCTGGAGATGGGTGGTGGTGATGGCTACAAAACATTTTGAATAAACTTAATGCCACTGAATTATACACCTAAATATGGTTAAAATTGTAAACTTTATGTTATGTATACTTTACCACAATAAAAAAAATATAAAATATGTCATATGGTGTCACAGTAATGAGGAGATAATGAAGAGATTTTTTAAAGCAAGAGCAACAAATGGTGCTTCTTGGGAATAAAAGGTACATAAGCACAACTGGAAAGCTTAAAGCTCAACTATTTTTAAAAGAAATGTGTGAATCAAATAGCTTTGTGTTTTAAAAGGTACCCCTGCCCCCACTTTGGAAAAGTTTCAAACACTGAAAACATATTAGGAAATGTATTTTGAGGTCTGTCAACCAAATTGACTCTTCCACAGAACACTTCAGGATCCAGAAGGAAGTGGATCAAACAGCAGAAGGCTAACTTAAAGAGGAATTAGGGAATGAGGTTCCCACTAACCTAATGACTCTACCATTATAAAAATGTAGTCTTTTTTTTTTTCCAAGGTAGCAACAGATATACCATCCCAATAACTGAATACAGGATTCAGCAGGATTGCAGGATTACAACTCTGACAATACAAAATTCCACTTTGTACCTATTTTCCTAAGTTCTTCGGAACAGATGGTAGTGGAATCTTATATAGATGCCAGCTTGTTTAGCAACTGTGAAGTGTCAAACTGTGAAAGTCAGTTTCTCATTTTGTTGTGTTACCCTTTGCCCTGCTACTGGGACAAGCTAGTGCATCATGCACTTCTGGTTACTTGTCAAGGAGTGGTGATTGATAGATTATGCTGAATCCTCCACACTCTCTCCGCAGGTTTCTGTGTTGATCACCCACTACAACAGGGTATCTGGCTGTGCCCAAAATATGAGAAAAGCTGAAAGGATGTCTCAGGAATCAAATCTCCAAATTCGGGGTATACGAACCGGCTGAGCTTAGCACTGTTTATACTGTGTTCAAAGGAAAGACAAAGATGATGAAAGAAGCAACAAGGAGTGCACACCAGTGAGGTTCATGCACCAGAGCCACACACAAAGTCCTGCTAAGGAGTGCTGGGTGAGTGGAATCCCCATCAACATCTAGGTGTTTGAAGCTTTAAAAACAGGCAAAGGAAGACTAGCCTCTAACTTTACACCAAGAATAATTCACCAAACAAGAATTTCTGAAGTGCAAAATATACAGTCCCTGCAATTTTGTGGCACTATGGTGTCTAGCACTGGTTGTATTGTAAATTATTCTATTATAAACACAGTCTTGCACAAGTAATTATAGAGGGTGAGTTTTGAGCCCAGTGATAAAGTAAAGTAACAGGTATTTCTTTATATCTCAAGATTATTTCCTAAATAAACTTTACAAATCATTCTAGTTGGTTTAAAACACAAAGGCTTTTTCAGACATAAAAATGTGAAACTCCCAACTAACAAAATAAAATAGGAAATAATCCTGAAACACTTTACCTTCTTTCTTCTTGAAACTGAAACCCTAATTCTGAAGACATTAAGAGTGTATTTCAACTGATAATATTTTTGCCCCTGGTAGATGGGTGTAGAAAGTCAAAACTTAGTCAAACGAGGAAGTGCCAATTTTATCAAATATTACAA